TTAACAACATATAAAAGTTTTCTCGAACTTTTGATAAAAGATATGAGGATTTTTGCAAATTTAACAAGAAATATATAATATTATTAATATAATGTTATAACAAGAAATGTTTCTTATTAAAATAGAGAAAGAAGCTATTTAGTAATATGGAGAACAATGTGTAGTAATACCATGAACACGATTTTGTTACAACATGAAATGGAACTTGTTAAAACAAAAACAAAAATCTCATTATATCAAGAACATATGTTTGTTCAATGGCAGCTAGTCATTTTTTATTTTGAAATGTGTTGTGAAGTCCTTTAAACGCTATAATGGCATCAGCATCTTCATGACCATGTTTTTCTTAATGAGATTTTCTTTCTTTGACATTTGTGTTTAGCTTGGCTATCTTCTGCCATGCACACACAGTATTGTCTATATATTTAAAAGCCAATAAAGGTGTTGTTTATTCTTTAGATCTACCCACAATGCTCCTGGTTCCTTAGGCCCTGCAGTGCCCCCATCTCTTTGACAGCAGATATCTGTGAATAGATGTTGGTGTGATGTTTATAGAGCAACTCAGGACTCAAACAAAGTGTCGTTTTGTTGACACTAGTGGGCTGACACATCTTATTCTCTCTTGTTTATAGACATTAACACTCACAGAAAAAAAAGTTCAACCATCTCACCCCACTGGCAGAATTCACCGCTTTCTGTAATAAAAATAACACAAGTAACAAGGCCTGAATGTGAGTGTAAATAACTTGTTAAGACGCCATCTGCAGCGCTGAGAGTCACCCTGTTTGCTCTCAGTTATAGCCCCCCCAGCCCACTCTCCTCTCCTTCACCCCCACCCAGATTCTCCTCCACCCCACCACGAGCAGACATTAAACAGACAAGTCAGAGGCTCTCCACTCGGCACGTGACCCTCCTGTTTAGTATTCCTGCCACGTCTGGCTGAGGGAGCGGCATTAAATTGGGATCAGGCAGATTAGAGTATAATATAGACGACTATTAAAGGCTGCAAATGAGAGCCATGGGTTAGAGCCTGAGCAGGGACCCAGTCTGCCTCCATGGCAGTTGCAGCCTCCTGCAATATACACTCACGGCACGCATGCTTGTCCACAACAAAATAAAAATGTGAGAAAATTGTGACCTCCAGTAAATCATAATGAAGCAAATAATTACCAAAAATCAATTCTACCCAGTACATGTATTATATTAAATGTATTTTTACCTTCATTTATTCATCCAGGGTTGATTTGTCTAGATTTTAGCAACACCCTCCTCCACACTCACATATTTATGCCTGGAACTGAACTACAGGTGTGCAAGGGAGCTGCCTACACCTTCCCCTTTAGGGTAGATGGCACATACTTGTACTTGTAATTTGGTTTGGACCAAGGAAAAATGTACTGATGCGGTTGTATTCATTTATTGCAAACAAACCAAAATTCCTCTGACTGACATCACTCAAGCAACACTGTGTTTATTTACTCTGGTGTCACAAAGAGCTCACCAAGTAATGACTGGTTGTAAAAATTAACAGTCATGACTTCAACCGGACCTCCTTTATCATAAATACTCACCAACAGGTACAAACAAAGAGGTGTCTTGTACTGTAATTGTACAGGGGGATACTGTTATTAAAAAAGGGGGATATGAAATGGTCACAACATTTCACTTATTTTTTAATGGGGAACTGCTAAAAAAACATGGAGAAAAACACAGGGACTACAAACCTCTGGTTTAACTTTCTGATGTTTTAGGAAATACCGCATATGTGTTCCAATGGTCACCAATCTATCTTGAATAAATGGATGCCTCTTAGAACACTTCCTTGATAGTTGAAGTTCAGTAGATAAGTCCAGTATCTAAGTGCTGTGGTTGGTCTGCTTTTATGTCATACCCAACATGACATATCTGTCTGGTTGTTTAGTCCGGACCTGAGTTTGATTGATCGTTTTCACAATAGCTAAAAACTGAGGTTAGGTGTGAATTCACCCTTAATCTCTCTAGATGTGAATAAAACATCACATCACATAACTTAAACGTACTACAAGGAGTTCTTAACTGCTGGTGAAACTTAATACTGATGCCTCTATACACAAGACCATCAGCAAGAAGATTGGCTATTACTATGTAGTTATTCTTAATGCCTGCCACTGGTGGATGTAAAAAAAAGAATTTCAACAAATGTAACAAAAAATGCTTTAGATATACATGACCTACCCTAGCCTTAACAATCAAAAAAATGCACAGTCAGATACATTTGAGATTTAAAAGTATAATATGCAACATTTCTGCATTAAAATGTCTCAAGACTGGACCCATGTTATATATTTTGTGTTCTGTACTCACATTATTCCAAATGTTTCCAACAATGTTCAAACCCAGAGAAACCTGTCATTATATTCAGGTAACACTGTGGAGAGAGGAAGGAAGTCTGCAAATGTGAATAAACCTTGATTTCGTGCCTGCGATGGTGGTTATTTAACTACCTCCCGGCGTTGCCCCCAGTGGCACAAATAACATATTGTCATTAATAGTGAAGACACAGTCCTGGATATGCTTTTAAGCTGTGGGCAGTGTCAGAATGACAGTGTCTTGTGTTTGCTTTTTCCTGGTTTAAACGTTAAAAACATCACTAATAAATTTGGCTTCCTTCCTTGAAAAAAGCTTCCTGCATGTCCTTTACAGCTAAAGCCACTGGATGTGGAAATAATGAAATATGCCACTAGTTAGTTAGTTACCACTTAGAGGGTTTATATAACATACTGCCAAGAATCCTTATCATAATGAATTTGACAGGGACATATTTTGAGAACTTTCCCCTGGGTTTCCTCTAAGTCAAAGGTAACACAAAGGGCAGCGCGTGAAAGGACGGAAGAGGCAGCGTCCAGAGTCTGGATGGAATAAGGACACGGACGTAACGGAGAACGGCACTATGAAATGTAGCTCTTTGGGACACAAACTTTTTATTCTCAGTCTCCTGTTCAAGTTCCTCTCAGGATTCATTGCATTGTAGTATTCTGCCTCCCTGGCCATTAGGGCAGCAGCTTTCTTCCAAGTGGAAATGCTCAATGATTTGGCATGTACTACATACAGCAGCGCAGTATGGACCATTGCACAGTGTATCTGGGGGATCTTATGCGAGTGACATTCCCTATAAAAGGCAGATGGTAACAATGTAGGTGACACGGTGAAGCCTAGTGCTGCCACTGGACCATATCCTATCCACTTAAAGATCTTTTTTTGATCTCTAGCTGAACCTTGTCCGTATGTTCAGCATGTCCTTTAGGGAATGTCATGAAGCTGCCACACTATTAACAGTGCAGTGCGGGAGGGTTAAGGGTTTTGGAGTAGAGCTCCATTTTTCCATGTAGTCACTCTGTTGAAAGTCCATTGATGCGTCTTTGCGTATGTGCAGTAAAAACACTGCATGGGTGACATACACTGTCGTGAGGCTTACATTTTAATACAAATGTTATGGTAAATGGACTGTATTAGTCTTGCATAAGGTGTTTTCTAGTCCTCCACTAACACCAAAGTCTTTAACATAATAGGTCAACATTCTCACCAGAATGACAGAACGTCATGATAGACAGAACGTGCATCCATCAGAGCAACTTAAAACACTCAACACTCCCAATGTTCATTAAGAGTGTATCTGATACGTACTGTCAGGGAGAATGTTTTCTCAAATTATTTGATTAAAAAGAACACAGAGATGCATCAACATGCTGTCACTCATGGTCACTGAATATTAGTCCTCTTGGACAGTTACAACTTGATCCATGACAAGTTGGTGGTATATTGTGCTGTTGATGTGGTTGTTCTTTCACGCTTCACAGGAGGCCATGTTATTTACATTACGAGGGCTTGGAGTCTTGCTGTGGTGCACAAGTGCATTATATCAGATTTTACAGGAGAGCAGAAAACACATTTTGATCAAACTCGAAGCAGCTGCTGTTGCCATGTACTGAACACAACTCTTCTTTTTGTGTTAGCAGACTGAGCATCCGTATAGAGACAATATTGCTACAGTAAAAAACGACAAAATGGTGAGATATGGCTTTTTGGCACAAACATTTTTCCAGCAGACTATTGAATACTACTGGCAGAAAATGTACACAGTTGTGCACACAATTACATGTCAATTAATATCTAATAATCTTTCAAAACCTGTATAAACAGTATAACTGCATGTACATCAAGCTTTTTAATACGTTTTTGCAGCGCCCTTATCATTTATTGATGTGTTCTGGGACTCTTGTGTTCACTTGAAACACTATTCTTAGTGTTTGCCTTATGTGCTGATGGAAAATAGTTAATGCTGCTTACAATGAAAAATCCATTGTAAAAACCGGTACTATCTTACATTCCCGGGTCTATTTGTCTTATCCTCAAAGGTAACTGGCGAAACAAAGACAGTGTCACCAGTCCATTACAAAAGAGGTTGGCTATATGTCTGAATACCCACCTACTCTGGGGCTGTGGAAAGGCTTTCTGGGAGAATAACCAGCCAAGGTAAAAAAAAAAAAAGAGGCAGCAAGTTAGTGGCTACACCAGTAGAATGCCTTGCAACTCCTACAGTGCATTAAACTTGCTGCAAGGGAAATCAGTATTTTGGCTAACTCCCTGTTAGCAGTTGCAGTTAGCAGTCCCCTCCCTTCTCCCCATGTCACCACACTGAAATTTTGCTGCCTGCCTTGGGGACCGCCTCTTTGTGTAGTTCTCTCTCCTGATTGGATAAGGAGCGGGATACCAGAAAATGTGTTCTTTGTTTAGTGCTGAAAGAAGGGACTGGGAGACCATGTTACTGACTGAACACTCTATATCAGTGATGGATGTAGAATGTAGAGCCTTTAATTATCTTGTCATAGGCAGTGAAATGAAGATTCCAAAGCTCCAGTTCTGACTTGATCCACCAACATTCACTAATAGTACACAATCAATAATATAAGACCTAATAACCGACTGACACATACTGCCTTTTTCTTTCTCTTTCTCCTCAGACATCCATTGTTCCCCCTGCTGGCGTTGCTGTTTGAGAAATGTGAGCAGGCCACACAGGGATCTGAATGCATCACATCAGCCAGCTTTGATGTGGACATTGAAAACTTTGTGCACCAGCAGGAGCGAGAACACAAGCCCTTCTTTAGTGAAGATCCAGAGCTGGACAACTTGGTAAGTGCTGTGACATACATTAACACAAAGAGATGGGCTTCAGCCACTTTCAGGAAGTCACTGCATTGTGGTGCTTCTTCGATTACATGTTTTTACCAATGCTGTGATAGTTAGTTTATGTAATCTGCTCAATTTAATAGAAGAAAAATAGATGAGAAAAGGCTGTTGGAATGGATGTTTGTCTGTTTGCAGTGCATCCTGTCATTACTGCTCCTAATCATTCCCTCCTTTTTCATGTAATCTTCCTCACCCTCCCCCTGCACGTCCCCTTGCACAACAGCTAACAGTAATTGCAAATTAAGAGAAGGATGATGCTGATCATGTTCACAGAGAAAAGAGGGGGAGGAGTCGAAGCGGCAGACACAGACAAAGACAGAGACAAGAAGAAAAAAGTGCACTCTTGCCTTTACAGTACTTGGGACGGCCGGCCGACAAGTGCTGAACAGTCAATTAACCCTGCATCTGTGTGTTTTATGAGGCACCAGTCGCGGGCATCCCTCCCAGAGGGCACTAACTCTTCCACGAGGCAGTAATGTTACACTGGGCCTGACTGGCTGCGATGGGCAGAGAGTTACTGGTCCCTTGATTAAGTGAGCGCGGTTTAATTAGCTGATTTATCTCCTCCTTGGCAAAGCACTTTTCTGTCCATTCTGTTGACCTTGAGTTGTGACTTTGAGAGAGTGCACTACAGCACGCTGCACAGAGTGGAGCAAAGCCAGGCTATTGATGGTCAGATAACTGCAGAATGATACGAATACTGTACATTAGCTGAATGATTCCGATCTTTTCACGGTTTCAAATGTTCAGGTTATTTTATTGCCATAGCTGAATAGCTGCAAGGAAATAAAGCAGGGCCCAAGCTGTTTCCTAGCAACACAACTCTAAATTATAGCCCTGTTAAATATCAGACATTTGTACATCAGTGTCATTGTCCTCCACAATATATTAGTATTTCTTCTCAGTCTTGTTAGTACAAAGTACAGGTTTTGCTACTGCTAAGCTAAAAGCTGCAACAGCAGTAGCCTAGCTTACTGCTGTTCAAGTAATGGTTTATTGTATAACCTTACATATAGCTTGGAAAAAAGTTTTAGTTTCACTTTTTTGAACTTTAGAATGGAAGTTCATTCTTGACATTTGGGAACACGTGTAACAAAATATCTAAGATTAAAGGTATGCTTACTAGCTTTTCAGAGCTTTTGTCTGCACAGTCTTACAGTCTACATTAGCCCTGAGACCCTGAGATGCTGTTGAAAGCTCTTAAAGGTATATTAAATGGGATATAAAATAACAATTTGGCTGATAACAGATGCCGATACCAATGTGTTACTTATTCGCCCTTTTGTGCCAGAGACACAGAGAAATGTAATTTGTCTCAGTGCTGGAAAACGGAGGTGATTATTTCTCCAGTATCCGAGTTAGAAATAACCAACACAGCATTTAGCCAGCGCAAAAAGTAACACAACAGATAAATTGGCCCCTGATATCGGTGGATGCCATCTTATTTGCCAATAAGCTCACGTCAGTCAACAAGGCCAAAATCGTCCGATACCGATGTTGAGTCAATGAATTGTGCATCCCTAGTGGCAAATGTATAATTGAGCTTAGATTACTTTATTACTGTGAACAATAAAATCTAACATGCTAACCTCTTCAAGCCCCTATAAAACAGATTATGTTAAGGAGAAAGAAAGGAGGAGGTTACTGTATGCAATAAAGTTTTTGAAGATTCAACCCATATGTTGTACTTTTACATGTTGTCTTTGGCTTTAAGAAGAGAGAAATAATTTTCTTAAATAAATTTAATGTGAATTAGAACAAGTTTTTCTGCTAATTAAAATGAATGAACAGAACAGAACAGAACAGAATAGAACAGAACAGAACAGACAAAGCTAAAACTAAACTAGACATAACATATTTTTAAATGTTGTAGCCGGAAAGACAGTGGCAAAGCTTTAAGCTTTACCCTTTCAGCATTGCATATTAAAGGCTCCATCGGTTGATTTCAGGCTCTGGGAGAAAGAAGGATGAAAGGATAACAGCCCCCCCAGTATACTTGCAATCTATATGCATCTCTGGAATAAACATTAAAGTTGAATGCTCTGCTCATCAATAAGATAAATCACTGCATGTCCCTTCCTCCATCTCACCCTGTAAAAACGACCTGTAAACACCTCATCTCACTTTCACTTTCAGTTCATTTTAATGTGGCCAAATATGGGTTTGAGGAGCGTACCAGTTTGGACTTCCATTTTAACAGAAAAAACTGCATTACAAAGTGGAGGTGTTGGGTTTAAAGAAATAGGCGTTAAGGAGGCAGGATACAGCGCTGTAAACACATACTGGCCACTGCCACGCCCATAGATTATGCACACTAGAGACTTCTCTCGGTCAAACCACTAACTTTAGGTTTAGCACTCCGCTAACTTAAACATGGATACAATTTAAATATTTAAATTTCCAAACATTTTATACCCTATTTTATAACCGCTTCTTTCACAATGTAAGCTTATGGGAAAAAGTCTTTTTGGGCCCCTGTGCATCATATGACTTGTAATTAAACGGTTTGGCCACTGTGTCAAATTGGCTTCAAAGCCCGCCACATGCACTCCCTGGGGGCTGGGAAGGAGAGGTCTTATGAAAGATGATATCTAGCTGCATTATCGGTGATGTAAGATCCAGGGTTTTTGGAGCTTGACCTATACTAGACATTAAAAGTCAGAGTATCAATGCCTGAGCTTTTGACTGTTATTTTTTAAATCTGTCTCTCAAAAGTCCTGCAGCTTAATGGAATTGCCATAGTCACTGGACTACTGCTTTAAAATAGCCACCATTTTTCAGACCAAATGTTGGTTGGTCCGACGGTCAGTTAATAACTTTGTCTCAGACTGAAATATCAACTTTTGGATGGGTTGCCATGAAAGTTTAGTGCTAATTAGCAGACGTGCTGCAACACTAAACTGAGATGGTTAATAATGTAAACATTATCTGCTGCTGTAATCAACAACATGTTAACACTTTGTGTGATTGTGAGCATTTAGTTAGCATTTAGCTAAAAGCAGCGCTATGCCTAAGTACAGCCTCGCAGAGCTGTTAGCATGGCTGGAGACTGATAGTCTTGTTTCCCTTTTAACAAAGAGAATTAAAGTTATGCTTAAAAGTACAGTGTGTAGGATTTAGTGGCATGGAAATGGCCTTATCTAGAACCCTAACCCCTTCTGGCTACTGTAGAAACATGGCGGTTCAACATGGCAGACTCTATGGAAGGCGACCTGCAGTGTCTGTAGATAAAAACATCTCATTCTAAGATGGCAAAGACACAATGATTCAGTGGGGATTCAGTTTTGTAGTCTTCTGTGAAAGTGATCTGTTTATGGTTTGTCTCTGCTTCCTTCAGATGGTAAAGGCCATTCAGGTGTTGCGGATCCACCTATTGGAGTTAGAGAAGGTCAATGAGCTCTGTAAAGATTTCTGCAACCGTTACATCACCTGCCTCAAGACCAAGATGCACAGCGACAACCTCCTGCGTAACGACCTCGGAGGACCCTATTCTCCATCACACACCAGTCTCAACATGCAGCAGGTCAGTCATTCATTCTCTATGGATCCTTGATATTATCCTTCTCTAGCAGTAGCGAGTAGCCAAGATACACCTTGTCGCATTTATCAGCAGGTAGAGTTTGCTGTTGGGAGTTTTTCAGTCACAAACAGTAGAGCTACCTCTTTATCTTTGCTCACTAGTGTCTCTCTGTGATCCCCCAGGAACTAATTCAGACCTCCTCTCCATCCATGACCTCTGTCTCCAGCTCTGTTAACCCTTCAGGGATTGTGGTGCCTGCCGGGGGTCTGCAACAGGGCAATGTCGCCATGACTACAATCAACTCTCAAGTGGTATCAGGTAAGCATGTGATTACACACACAAACATCAAAACACAAGGGCCCTGACACATACACATACTATATTCATTTTGTATTAGTTTTCTAAACATTTCAGTGTTGGTTAGGGTTTGAATAATTATTTGAATTTCTTTGACTTCTCATAGTAAAATCTATACATTTTACAGCTGCCCAGTATTACCTGTAAACAGGAATACATTATGTCAGAATTTGCTGAAGCCTTTTTTCCAATGGACAAGATTTCAAAATTGTAAATAGACCCACCGATCCACTACAGGATACTATGTCAGTGTCACGTTTTGCCTCACCTAGACGTGAAAAGTACATGCCTGTATGAAGGTGCAGTACAAAGACTAAAAAGGTCTGCATAGGGAAGGAGTCAGGGTTGATGGATAGGTCAACCCGACACAGGACTTTCACCCAGCAGACTGCAGTTCGGGTCCTGTGTGAAACCCAGTCAGTGTTGACTTGTCAGATACGTATGTGACTTTTTTCCAATCTCTCCACGGAAAGAGCATGTGGTGAGGCAAAATGTGACAGTGCCACAGTCGACCGGCATGTGTATGACTTGCCTTGGCATGGTACTGGGTTGTACATTCAGGATGTCATGGTCAGGGGGAAAACACAGGTTTATGTCCCTGGTGGTAGACCTGCTGACACAGCGTATGTGTCTCAGATGTTGTCATGCCTTTTGGAAACTAAGAGCTGGATTTCACAATGTTTACAACTTCACCAGTCTAAATTGGAGATCATTTGGCCCACTGTCTTTCACCCTTACTGTAAAGATTCATTTATCTTTTAAAAAGAAGGACAGTGCATGAAACTGGGAAGTGATATTTGACTCCAGTCTTCTTTTTTTTTGGCAATGCTTTCTCCAGCTGAGGAAACTTACTGTCAGATTTCGGAAAAGAGCTTTTATCTCTTTTAGTTTGGACAACTGCAATTCTCTTAATTTAGGTCTGAGCCATAAGACACCATAGTTTCTTGCTTTAACCTATCCAAAATGCTACTGCACAGCTCAAATACCAAATTTTTAATTCTGATTTATTGAACGTAATATATTTTTAATTAGCTTTATTTATTTATCGTCTTCTCTCCTGCCTTGTTGCCTTAATATTTAAGCAATTTTACAATTTCTCTATGTTCTGCTTTATAGTTTTTTTTTACTGTAAAGCACTGCATTTAAAAAAGTGCTATATAAATAAAGGGTATTCTGATTATAATTATATTCTTCAGGAGACTGACAAACTGATACCTGAGGCATGGAACATTTCAAGTAGTTTACTGCTACAGTATGTAACATCAACTTGATGATTTTGTATTAATTACCCATATTGTCAAATACATACAAGCATATCATGAAGAATAATCAGTATGGTTAGTTTACCATCACCATATCACTGCACGTACACATAAAGTACACACATTTCTACGATAAAATGTAACATATAAATGCAATTATTTTAACGTTTTCTTTCAATAGACATCTGTAGTAACTGACTTTTGTGTATGTGTGTACCAGAGAGCCCTGATAATATTCTTCACAGGGTGCTTGGCTGATAGGTTCTTATAATGTCAAGCCTGTACAGTGAAATGTTAATCCTGCCCTCTGGAAATCCCTTTTAACCCAAAATAAATCAATGTCTTTGCCTTTGATCACTACACACTGAAGAGCTCAAACAGACTGTGATGAGAGTGTCTTGATCAAGACTAATTAAGCCAGCAGCAAAAACACACTCTTCTTTTTTTCCCGGGTTAAAGGACATTAATGCACCTTGAATTTAATCATTTTGTCTCTTGTTTGTCATGTTTTTGTTTGCGGGGCTGACAAGAAGTTAATAAGGCTCTGGTGGCAGTGTGGGATGTGGCTGCCAGTAGCTGCTGAAGCCACTTGATACTCATGACGGCAAATTATCCCCTCAGGTGGGACCCTGTACCAGCCGGTTGCCATGGTGACATCGCAAGGGCAAGTGTTAACGCAGGCGCTGCCGCCGGGAACCATCCAGATCCAGAACTCACAGGTAAAGCTGTCCGACCGCTGATGCCTTGGCCGACACATTCGCTCCCTCTCTGCACTACCTACACCCAATTTGTTATTGTTAGAAGGGCCTCTTTACATCTCACAGAAGGCCCCCTAGGTGCCTTTTCATTGTTTCTGTCTGAACACAGCCCCCCTGCTGACAGACAAAATGGAAATTGTTTATTCCCATGGATGTTCAGGGCGCTTACATGATCCTGTCAGGTTCAAATTAAGTGATGTTAGGAAATGCACTAAAGACTAACTTCATTTCTACTGTAGATCAGATATTTTTGATAATGTGATTTACAGCAGATGCAAGAAATGAAAGTTAATACACTTCATTCTTACTCAACTTTTTGACAAACTTGGCCTCTGTAAAGTAGATACACTTTAAGGGAAGAAAGAGACCAAAGTAACGTGCATTCATTATGGACAGGAAATATTATGAACACAAATGTTTAAGCTCCTTCCCATGAAACAGTCAAACCCACATAAATGCTTGAAAACACAAATTTGGTTTGGTTCTCAAACTATGGTACCACCGGTGGTACGCAGAGAAAACTCTTAAATAATTACTTTTAAATGTAATTAATTAATTGTAAAACATATAAAACTATCAAAATACTACACAATATAAACTATGAAATATCTGAAATGTAGTTTAAAATAAGATTTGCATTTCCTGTAATATTTTGTTTCAATATCAGCCTGTTACCTAGTCACGTTCATGCATGTAGCACATGATGGTAAGATAGTGAGCAGAGGTACAATGAATGATTAAAAAACACTGCCGCATTGCAATCGTAGCTCCAAACAGGAATAACTGGAAATAGAAATCTGGACCAGGATGGCCCCTTTTCCACCAGATTAGCTCTGGTTCTTGAACCGGCTCCATTCAGGATTCAACAACAGTAATCAATACAATAAATAATCTTCTAATTAGGAATAAAGCTGCCTCCTGCGTGAACTGTCTATAGCTGAATAGGGTCGGCATACACTGCTGTATCGGTCATAATGGTTGTACTTGGAGAGCCTGATATTTCTGACACTCACTGTATCCTCCATCTTTGAGTGTTAGGTTGCAGATGAATGAGCCTCATACCTGTTCCTAGTAATCAATTACAAATCCATTTAATTTTACTCATTTAATTTTCAATTCAGATTGCTTTATTTGTCCCCAAGGGGCAATTGCAAAGGCACAAAGAGTAGTTGATTAACAAGTAACACAATACGAGATAAAAATTAGCTCCAAAGTTACACCATACAATAGAAGAGATTGTTTTAGTCAACTCCAGAACTGACACCTCCAGAGAGTCTCTAGTTTCAAAGAGGGTGGATTCAAACTGTAGTAATGAAATGGGACAAAACATGTTAGAGCCAAAGACTGCTGTCAATAGCTTAGTAAAGCTGGGTCAGAGTAAATGTTACATTTGTTAGCTGAGCTGCATGGTTGAAGGCCAAAAGCTATTGCCAACAGAGCTTGAGTTTCCCTAAAGTTGTGCTGAGATGTAGCTACTGCTAGAGCAGAACCTCAACCATTCACTCTTTTTTTTTATCTGAATGATGAGTCAGAGTTGATATGACATTGGCTTACTTTGACTTGCTTACTAATTTAGTCAAGCTACACCCTTAACATGTCATCACAGCAGAAAATATAATCTAACCATCACATGTTAGAACATTTTGCAACAGGACTTTTTCTTCTGTGAATATAATAGAACGAGAGAACAATTTCATTGTGCAGTCGTATGTATGATGCAGAGTTTGCTGTCTTCAGAGTCATCAGAAGGCTATTTCTAATGCTTTCTAAAAGAAGGAAGCACAGGGATTCTGACCTGGATAATTGGTGCTGGCTCATTGAAACAGAGTCAACACAACACCAGACAATAGGCAAAACAGTAGACCTACACATATAGAGCAGACAAAATATTCTAAATGGAAGTTGAAAGAACATGAAAACCCCAAAAAACTCAATTTATTAAGAGTAAAGGTCATTGTCAGTGTATAATCACCTGAAAATAAGAATTGTTGTGATTTTGTTACCTTACAATGAGCTGTATTTATCTACGGGGAGAGCGGCCCTCTTCTACGGAGGTCGCCATGTTGAACAGCCATGTTCATGCCAGAAACTTTCCACTTTCAGCTGTTGAATGTGAAAACATCTTTCTAGAGTCAAACTCTGCACAGACAGCATTCAAACATCACAGGATCAGGAAGAAACACTGATTTCTGACTGAGGGGGGCTTTCAATGGTTCTTTTGTTTTTTGTTTTAATAATATAATAACTAGCCCATTTTTTATTGAGCCACAAGTTAAATTGATAATGCACTATTGAAATATGCAACAAAAGATAATGCAGTTGCTGAAAAAGAAACATTTACATGTCTGCTCTTTATAGAGGGAGTCTATTTAATACAAGGATAAAAAATACTGTGTAACTAGTTTTTGAACCACAAAACTACACACCAAGTGGGTGGGTAATTAGGATTTAGAATTACTGATTCAACTTAGCTGGAATTTAAAATTATTTTTATGATTCTATTTAATAATCACTGCTCTTTTTTCTCAAACATGTGCATGACTTAGAAAAGCACCAGGCTCCGTCGATTTAATGCATCACTGCAGAGGCCAGTCTTTGTCTGGCCCTTGGCAGTCTCAACATTTGCCTGTGGATATAAATAAAAACTGCAAGTGCAGCAGCAGTGGCCTGAAGAGCGGCTCAGTTTCAGGCAGGTAATTCTGTGCTTGACAGTCAGAGGAGGCCTCGGTGAATAGCCGTGACCCGGCTGAGGCTAGAGTGCTACATGTGGGCTGGGAATTGAACACAGCCCCGTCGCTGCTTTGCCGACAAGCCCCGAGTAATCACACTCTTGAGCTTGGTGCCGCCAATTAATTCAACCTCGCTTTCCCCCGGAACACACGCACTCCCAGGGCTGAGGGGGGATAAGAAGAGGGTTATCCACGTGACACCCAGCTGCAACTGTAATGAGTCTTGTTTTGTGCGGGGAGTGTGTGTGTGTGTGGGGGNNNNGGGGGGGGGGGATCTGAGTGTGTATGGGCATTGTGTGTTAAGGAGAGTTTGTCTGTTATTTATTTCCAAGACAGCCAGAATTCTTTCCACTGCTATTCTCTGCACAAAATTAATCAATATTATATTCTTTTAGCAGACTTGCATTTTTTTATTAATGTATGCATTCTGTCCTGCATGCTTATGCATATGAAATTTGAAAGTACGCGGCCCTCTGAAGTATTTTTAGCTTTCACAAATGGGCACCTCATTCAGAAAAATGGCGTAAAAAGGCTCAAAGTCGCTGGCACTGCTTGGTACAATGACAATGACAGATTAAAAAGACTTGTCTCATATTAAATATTACATATTTATGAATATGCAGCCAGTGTGTGATTCATTGCATCGGTATGAGTGTACATTCTTATGTGGCATATGTTTCTATTCAGAGTATAGCTCTTTGCAGATAGTGTCAAAGAGGGTTTGGTAATGGTTGCTATTGAGAGCCCATTGTGTTTCATATTATCTGCCTCAGAGCACACACTGACACACATTTATCTCCACAATGAAATAAACACACACATACTGTACTATGGTGTAGGCACGTACACACAGTTTTTT